ACGGACTGGGGGACACACACACAAAAAAAAAGGGGGGCTCGGAGGGTGGGGAGACCCCCAAACCCTGCCCAGCACCCCCCAAAACCCCAACGACCCCCCCGAGAGCAAATACCCCCCCCCAGAGACCCCTGAGACCCCCCCAGGACCAAAAATCCCACCCTGAGCCCCCCAAAGCCCCCCTGTGCCCCCCCAAACTGCCCCAGGACCCCAAAGTCCCCCTTGTGCCCCCCCTCCAGACCCCAAATCCCACCTTAAGCCCCCCCCAAATCTCCCCCCTGAACCCCCCCAGAACCCCAAATCCCACTGTGAGACCCCCCCAGGACCTCAAACCCCCCCCCCCCCAGACATCCCTCCTGACTCCCCTAAAACCCCCTCTGTGCCCCTCACAACCCCCCCCCCGGACCCCAAATCCCACCCTGAGCCCCCCAAAAGCCTCCCTGTGCCCCCCCAAACCCTGCCTAGGACCCCAAAACCTCCGCAAAATCCCCTTTGTGCCCCCCAGAACCCCAAATCCCAGTCTGACCCCCCCAAAACTCCCTCTGTGCCCTCCCCAACCCCCCTCCGGACCCCCAAATCCCCCCTAAAGCCCCCCTGCCCCCCAAAAACTCCCCAACCCCCCCCCAGCTGCCCCACTCACCGGGTGGAAGGTGGGGGGCTGCCCCATCACCTGTGGGGGGGCACAGGGGGGTCAGTGAGGGGGGGGACACACCCCAGGGACCCCCCTGGGGACCCCCCCGCGATGGGGGGGCTCAGTTTTGGGGACCCCCCCGCCCCACTTACCGGCAGGTTGAAGTTGGGGTACGAGGGGATGGCCTGGGGCATGTCCTGGGGGGGGCACAGGGGTCAGGGGGGGCCCCAAATCTCACCTGGGGACCCCCCAAACCCACCGGGGGGACCCCCAAACCCAGCTGGGGGTCCCCATAAACACCTCCCCCCCACCCCCAACCCCACCTTGGGGACCCCCAAACCCAGCCAAGGGTCCCCAAACCCCCCCTTGGGGACCCCAAAAATACCCCTGGGGGTCCTCAAATCCACCCGGGTGACCCCCCAAGCCCCCCCCCCAGACTCACCGGGACACACTGGGGTGCACACGGGCCCTGTGGAGAGAGGGGGGGTCAGGGGGGGCTTTTGGGGGTACAGGGGGGATTTGGGGGAGGTTTTGGGGTACAGGAGGATTTTGGGGGATACATGGGGGGTTCTGGGGTGGGTTTTGGGGCACAGGAGGGGTGCAGGGGTGGGGTTTGGGGGTCTAGGGGGGCTCCAGGTGAGGGGGGGGATCCCAGGGGGGTTTGGGGGGGTTCTGAGATCTGGGGGGGTCTCGGGGGTGGGTTTTGGGGCCCGGGGGGTTTTGGGGGGGCTCACCCTGCCCCCCAGGACAGAGGCCGAGTGCAGCTCCAGGGGGGGTTGAGGGGGTTCAGGGGTGGGTTTTGGGGTCTGGGGGTTTCTCAGGGGTGGGTTTTGGGCCCGGGGGGTTTTGGGGGGGCTCACCCCGCCCCCCAGGACGGAGGCCGAGTGCAGCTCCAGGTGAGGGGGGGGATCCCAGGGGGGTTTGAGGGGGTTCTGGGGTGGGTTTTGGGGCACAGGGGGGGTTCAGGGGTGGGTTTTGGGGTCTGGGGGTTTCTCAGGGGTGGGTTTTGGGGCCCGGGGGGTTTTGGGGGGGCTCACCCCGCCCCCCAGGACGGAGGCCGAGTGCAGCTCCAGGTCCCCGTCGACGGTCACGGCCCCCACGGTCTCCGGGGGGAGTCGATGCGGGAACTCGGCGTAGTGGGACCCGTTCACCAGGAGCTGGGGGGGGAAGGAGGGCTCAGAGACCCCCCAAACACCCCCCCGGGGCCATAACCCCCACCTCGAGACCCTCAGATACCCCCTGGAACCCCAAATACCCCCTTGGGGACCCCACACAGCTCCTGGAACCCCCAATACCCAAATACCCCCCAAGACCCCCAAATATCCCTTGGGCACCCCAAAGCCCTCCCGTGTCCAGAGACAAAACTCCCCCCCCAAGGGCCCCCAAATTCTCCCCTTAGGGACCCCAAATACCTCTCTGGGAACCCCTAAATACACTTTGGGGACCCCCCCATAAACCCCACCCTGCAGACCCCAAATTCCTCTTCGGAGCCCCTGTAACCCCCTTTAGGACCCCCAAATCCCCCTTTAGGACACTCCAGCCCCCCCCAGGAGCCCCTGTAACCCCCTTTAGGACCCCCAAATGCCCCTTTAGGGCCCCCCCAACCCCCCTGGGAACCCCTGTAACCCCCTTTAGTGTCCCCAACCCCCCCCGGAGCCCCTCTAATCCCCTTTAGGACCTCGAAATCTCCCCTTTAGGACCCCCAAATCTCCCTTTAGGACCCCCAAGCCCCCCCCGGAGCCCCTGTAACCCCCTTTAGGACCCCCAAATCTCCCTTTAGGACCCCCAAATCTCCCTTTAGGACCCCCAAATCCCCCTTTAAGATCCCCCAGGCCCCCCCGGAGCCCCTCTAACCCCCTTTAGGACCCCCAAATCCCCCTTTAAGACACCCAACCGCCCCAGGAGCCCCTCTAACCCTTTTTAGGACCCCCAAATATCCTTTTAGGACCCCCAAATACCCTCTTTAGGGCCCCCAAATCCCCCTTTAGGACCCCCAGATGCCCCTTTAAGACCCCTCGGCCTCCCCAGGAGCTCCTGTAACCCCCTTCAGGACCCCCAAATACCCCTTTAGCCCCCCCCAACCCACCCCAGGAGCCCCTCTAACCCCTTTTAGGACCCCCAAATCTCCCTTTAGGACCCCCAAATCCCCCTTTAAGACCCCCCAGCCCCCCCAGGAGCCCCTCTAACCCCCTTTAGGACCCCCAAATCCCCTTTAAGACCCCCTAGGCCCCCCTGGAGCCCCTGTAACCCGCTGTACGACCCCCAAATCCCCCTTTAGGGCCCCCAACCCACCCCAGGAGCCCCTCTCACCCCCTTTATGATGCCCAAATCCTCCTTTAAGACCCCCTAACCCTCCCCGGGAGCCCCTGTAACCCCCTTTAGGACCCCCAAACCCCCCTTTATGGCCCCCAAGTCCCCCTTTAGGACCCCCCAGCCCCCCCTGGAGCCCCTCTAACCTCCTTTAGGGCCCCCAAATCCCCCCTTTAGGACTCCAAATTCCTGAGAACTCCCTGTAACCCCCTTTATGACCCCCAAATCCCACTTTAGGGCCCCCAACCCATCCCCCAGGAGCCCCTGTAATCCCATTTAGGACCCCAAATCCCCCTTTAGGACCCCCAGGCCCCCCCCGGGAGCCCATGTAACCCCTTTTAGGAACCCCAAATCCTCCTTTAGGACCCCCAAATCCCATTTTAGGGCCCCCAACCCACCCCCCAGGAGCCCCTGTAATCTCCTTTAGGACCTCCCCAATCCCTCTTTAGGACCCCCAGCCCCCCCGGAGCCCCTGTGACCCCCTTTAGGACCCCCAAATCCTCCTTTAGGACCCCCAAATCCCCCCTTTAGGATCCCCCAGGAGCCCCTCTAACCCCCTTTAGTTACCCCCAAATCCCCCTTTAGGACCCCAAAAACCCCCTTTAGGACCCCAAATTTCCCAGGAGCCCCTCTAACCCCCTTTAGAACCCACAAATCCCCCTTTAGGGCCCCCCAGGCCCCCCTCAGGAGCCCCTCTAACCCCCTTTAGGACCCCCAGAACCCCCCTTTAGGACCCCCAAATCCTCCTTTAGGACCCCCAAATCTCCCTTCTTTAGGACTCCCAAATCCCCCCTTTAGGATCCCCCAGGAGCCCCTCTAACCCCCTTTAGTTACCCCCAAATCCCCCTTTAGGGACCCCCAAATCCCCCTTTAGAGACCCCCAAATACCCCCTTTAGGACCCCCAAATCCCCCTTTAGGACTCCAAATTCCCGAGAAATCCCTCTAACCCCCTTTAGGACCCCAAATCCCCCTTTAGCCCCCCCCCGGGATCCCCTCTCCCCCCCCGTACGCGGTATCCGTGGGGGGTGACGTTGATGACGAGCTCGAAGGGCCCCCCCGGGTGCAGGGGTTGGGGGTCCTGGCGCTGCTCGTCCCCCCAGTGCTTCCCCCGGCGGCTGTTGAGCACCAGGACCCCCCCCGAGAAACGGGGGTTCACGTGCAGGGCCACGTCCGCCCCCTCCTCGGGGCCAGAGGCCAGGTTCACGCGGAAACTGGGGGGGGGACACATTGGTGACCCCCCCGGGACACCCAGAGACCACCCAGTGCCCCCCAGGATCCCCCCAGGACCACCCAGTGCCCCCCAGTGCCCCCAGTGTCCCCCTGGGAACCCCCAGTGCCCCCCATGTCCCCCCCCTCCTCGGGGCCAGAGGCCAGGTTCACGCAGAAACAGGGGGGGGACACATTGGTGACCCCCCCGGGACCCCCTGACCCCAGAGACCCCCCCCAGGACCCCCCAGGACCACCCAGTGTCCCTGTAATCCACCCCCTCCTCGGGGCCAGAGGCCAGGTTCACGCAGAAACTGGGGGGGGACACGCATTGGTGACCCCCCCGGGACCCCCTGAGACCACCCAGTGCCCCCCAGGATCCCCCCAGGACCACCCAGTGCCCCCCAGTGCCACCCAGGATGCCCCCAGGACCCCCCAGGACCACCCAGTGTCCCTGTGATCCACCCCCTCCTCGGGGCCCCCAGGCAGGTTCACACAGAAACTGGGGGGGGGACACGTTGGTGACCCCCCCGGGACCCCCCAGTGTCCCCCCATGTCCCCCTGAGGCCCCCCAGTGCCCCCCAGTGCCACCCATGTTCCTCCCTCCTCGGGGCCCACCCCCAGGTACACACAGAAACTGGGGGGGGACACGCCTTGGGGACCCCCCCTGGGGCCCCACGAGACCACCCGGGACCCCCCAGTGCCTCCCCGTGTCCCCCCGGGACCACCCAGTGCCCCCCAGTGTCACTCTGGGACCCCCCAGTGCCCCCCCATGTTCCCCCCACCTTGGGGCCCCCAGCCAGGTTCACGCAGAAACTGGGGGGGGACACACATTGGTGACCCCCCTGAGACACCCCCATGTCCCCCTGGGACCACCCAGTGCCCCCCAGTGTCGCCCCCGTGTCCCTAGAGCCCCCCAAATTCCCCTCACTCCCCCCAGTGCCCCCCCAGTGCCCCCCAGTATCCCCCCCTTCTCAGGAGCCCCAGTCAGGTTCACACAGAAACTGGGGGGGGACACGTATTACTGACCCCCCCGGGACTCCCCAGTGTCCCCCTATGTCCCCTCGGGACCCCCCAGTGCCCCCCAGTGCCTCCCAGTGTCCCCCTGAGACCACCCAGTGCCTCCCCAGTGCCCCCCAGTGTCCCCCCCTCCTGGGGGCCCTTGGTCAAGTTCACATGGAAACTGGGGGGGGACACGCCTTGGGGACCCCCCCAAGACCACCCAGGACTCCCCAGTGCCTCCCAGTGTCCCCCCGAGACCACCCAGGACTCCTCAGTGCCTCCCAGTGCCCCTCCGAGACCACCCAGTGCCCCCCAGTGCCCCCCCCGTGTCCCCCCCTCCTTGGGGCCCATGGCCAAGTTCACACAGAAACTGGGGGGGAGGACACACCTTGAGGACCCCCTGGGACCCCTCAGTGCCCCCCAGTGTCGCCCCCGTGTCCCTAGAGCCCCCCAAATTCCCCTCACTCCCCCCAGTACCCCCCCAGTGCCCCCCCAGTGCCCCCCAGTACCTTTTGGCGTGGTGGGCCACCACCCCCTGCACGTAAATGGCCATCCCGGGATGGAGCCCCCCGGGCACGGGGGCCACGTAGGGCAGGGGCTGGGGGGGGACACGGGGTCAGGGGGGCCCGAAATGTCCCGGTGGGGGGACACGGGGACCCCCCAGGACCCCAAAACCTGCAGGGCCAAGGGGTGACAACAACCCCAAAACCCAGTTTGGGGGTGACAGGGACCCCCACCCTGTCCCTGGGGGGGTAGGGGGGTCACAGGGACCCTGAGCCCTGCCCCCTTCATTTTTGGGGTGTCCCCCTCCCCTCCCCCCCCCCGTTTTTGGGGTACCCACCGGGTTGTAGGCGGGCAGGTACCCGGGCGCGGGGACGAAGGCCATGGTTGGTGGCACTGGTGGCACTGGTGAACTGGTGACAACGTGGGGGGCTCTTTATACCCCCCCACGTGGGCCCCCCCCCCATTTCCGGCCCCTCCCTGGGCGGGGAGTGGACTTTGACCCCCCCCCGGATACAGGAAATGGGGAGGGGGGTGACACACCTGGCTCAGGTGACACACCTGGCACAGGGGACACACCTGGCTCAGGGGACACACCTGGCTCAGGTGCCACCGCCCTGGACTCTGCCCTGGGAGGGGCCGGATGGGCCCTCGGACCTTTGCCCTTCCCCAGCCCCCCAGGGGGCACTTTGGGGACCCCCAGAGCCCTGGTGGCACCTTGGGGACCCCCAGGAGCACTTTGGGGACCTCCAGACCCCCAGGGGCCCTTTGGGGACCCCCAGGAGCACCTCGGGGACCCCCAGGAGCACTTTGGGGACCCCCAGAGCCCTGGTGGCACTTTGGGGATCTCCAGACCCCCAAGAGCACTTTGGGGACCCCCAGAGCCCTGGTGATAATTTGGGGACCCCCCCAGGAGCACCTCGGGGACCCCCAGAGCCCTGGTGGCACTTTGGGGACACGGGGACCCCCCCAGGCCCCACCCCCAGTGACAGGACAAGACCAGGGGACTTGGGGACAAAGGGGTTTATTGGGGACACCGAGGGGACCCCAGAGCCCCGGGAAGGGGACACTGAGAGGGGGTGGTGGCACTGAGGGGACCCCAGAGCCCCGGGAAGGGGACACCGGGGAGGGGTTGGTGGCACCGAGGTGACATTAAGGCTGAAGGGGATGTTGGGGACACAGAGGGGACCTCGGTGGCCCCCCGGTGACATCAGAGCTTGGCAAAGGGGACCTCCTCGGGGCCCTTCTTCTCCAGGGCTGCCTGCACCGACTTGAGGATGTCCTCGGTCTGCAGCATGGCCATGTTCCACGTGGCCTGGGGGGACAGGGACACCCGTGGGGACGGGGCACCCCTGGGGACACCGGGATGGGGACACAGGGACAGGGACACCCCTGGGGACAGGGACACAGGGACACCGGGGTGGGGACAGGGCACCCCTGGGGACAGGGACAGGGACACCCCTGGGGACACCGGGATGGGGACACGGGGACAGGGACACCCCTGGGGACAGGGACACCCCTGGGGACAGGGCACCCCTGGGGACACCAGGATGGGGACACGGGGACAGGGACACCCCTGGGGACAGGGGACACAGGGACACAGGGTGGGGACAGGGGCACCTCTGGGGACAGGGACAGGGGACACCAGGGTGGGGACAGGGGACAGGGACACCCCTGAGGACAGGGACACCCCTGGGGACAGGGACAGGGGACAAAGAGACACCGGGGTGGGGACAGGACAGCCCTGGGGACAGGGACATGGGGACAGGGACACCGGGATGGGGACACAGGGACACCCTTGGGGACAGGGGGACACCGGGATGGGGACAGGACAGGGGGACACTGGGACAGGACAAGGCACCCCTTGTGTCCCAGATTTTGGGGGAGTGTCCCACATTTAGGGGGCTGTCCCATATTTTGGGGGGTGTCTCAGATTTGGAGGGGGGGTGTCCCGGGTTTTAAGAGGGTGCCCTGGGATTGGGGGTTGTCCCAGGATTTGGGGGGTGTGTCCCAGATTTTGGGGGTGTGTCCCAGATTTCGGGGGGGTGTCCCAGCCTTTGCCCCCCCCCAGCACCCACCATGTGCTGCAGCCCCTCGGGGGTGGGTCGGTCCCTCGAGTAGACGAGGTTGATCTTGGTGCCCTGCACGGCCACGGGGCTGCGGGCGGCGATGGCCACGGCCACCCCCAGGGCCACCTCCAGCAGCGTGGCCTTGTCGGGCAGCACCCGGCTGGGGGGGCACGGGGTCACCCCAAAATACACCCCCAGGGACCCCCAAACCCACCCAGGGACCCCCAAACCCACCCTGGCCACAGCCACCCCCAGGGCCACCTCCAGCACTGTGGTCTCATGGGGCAGCACCCGGCTGGGGGGGCACGGGGTCACCCCAAAATACACCCCCGCACCCCAGAAATACACCCCAGCACCCCATACCCCCCCCCCAGGGACCCCCAACCCCTCCAGAGACCCCCCAAACCAACCCTGGCACCTCCAAACCCACCCTGGCCACGGCCACCCCAAAACCCACCCCAGCACCCCAAAAAGCCCCCCCGATCCCCCCATGGGACCCCCAGGGGATCCTCAGTACCCCCCCTCCTAATTTTCAGGGTGGGGACCCCCCCCAATTTTGGGGATCCTCCTGATGTTGTTGGGGACCCCCTCACCTGACCAAGTCCCCCCCACCACCCAGTGCCTCCCCTGCCCCCCGAATTCTGGGGACCTCCCCCAGCCAAGGGGGGATAGTGATGACCCCCGGGGGACCCTCAGTGCCCCCTCCCTGATTTTGGGGCCCCCTCCCTGATTTTGGGGCCCCCTCCCCTGGGTTTTGGGCCCCTCCCCACCTGATGAGGCCGCAGCTCAGGGCCTCGGGCGCCAACATCCTGCGGGCAGTGAAGGCCAGCTCGTTCACCAGGCTGGGGACAGGGGGGACACCGGGGGGTCACGGGGGGTCACAGGGGGTCCCCCCGTCACCCCCAACCCCCAGGACCCCCCCCACAGCCCCCTCACCCACCTCTGGCTCCCCACGATTTTGGGGAGGCGCTGGAGGGTCCCCACGTCGGCCGCCAGCCCGATGTCAACCTCCTGGGGGGACATTTGGGGACATTGGGGGACATTGGGGGGACATGGGGGGACATGGGGGGACATCAGGGATGTTGTGGGGACGTGGAGGGACATGGGGGGACATGGGGGGACATCAGGGACGTTGTGGGGACGTGGAGGGACACGGGGGGACATTTGGGGACATTGGGGGACACAGGGGGACATCAGGGACATTGAGGGGGGTGACAGAGGAGTGGCCAAGGGGCTCCAGGGACACCCGAGGGGTCCTGGGGACACCCATGAGGCCCCAGGGATGCCCGAGGGGTCTCAGGGACACCTGAGGGGGGTCTTGGGGACCCCTCATGTCCCACCTTGACCTGGAACGAGGCGTCCTGGGAGCAGAACCGGATGTCACAGGCCGAGATCAGGTCAACACCTGTGGGGGGGGCTCATCTTCATCCTCATCCTCATCCTCATCCTCATCCTCATCCCCTGCCCATCCCCATCCTCACCCTCATCCCCATCTATCCCATCCCATCCCAAATCCCATCCCCTCCCCTCCCAGCCCGTCCCCCCTCACCGGCTCCGATGCAGGGTCCGTGCACGGCGGCGATGACGGGCTTGGGGCACTGGGGGGGGTCAGGAGGGTCAGGGGGGAAGATTCAGGGGGATCCGGGGGGATTTTGGGGTGTGTGAGGGGGAGGATCCGCCCCCGCCCCTCCACCCCCACCTTTTCCAGCACGGAGAAGCTCTCCTGGAACTCCAGGATCTTCTGGCGCAGGTTCCAGGCGCGCCGGGCGACGTCCTCGCCTGGGATCCCCAGGAAGAGCCCCCCCAGGTCCGCCAGGTCGATCCCTGGGGGGGGACGAGGCCGGGGGGGGGCTCAGGATCCCTCCAGGACCCCCCCCAGGCCCCGTTCCCGGCCTCTGGAATCACCGGAGGTGAAGGCGTCCCCGGCGCCCGAGACGACGACGGCGCGGCACGAGGGGTCCCGGGAGATGTCCTGGAAACATTCCACCAGCTCCCTGCGGGATTGGGGGGGTCAGGGGGGCACCAGTGTCCCACCAGTGCTCCCAGTCCATCCCAGTCCCTCCCAGTACCTCCAGCAGAGCAGGTTGATGGCGTTGCGCTTGCTGGGCCGGTTGAGCTCCACGTGCAGGACGTGCTCCCGCTCCCACCCCAGTGCTCCCAGTCCATCCCAGCATGTCCCAGTCCATCCCAGTCCATCCCAGTCCCATCCCAGTCCATCCCAGTCCCTCCCAGTACCTCCAGCAGAGCAGGTTGATGGCGTTGCGCTTGCCGGGCCGGTTGAGCTCCACGTGCAGGACGTGCTCCCGCTCCCACCCCAGTGCTCCCAGTCCATCCCAGCATGTCCCAGTCCATCCCAGTGTGTCCCAGTCCCTCCCAGTCCCTCCCAGTACCTCCAGCAGAGCAGGTTGATGGCATTGCGCTTGCTGGGCCGGTTGAGCTCCACGTGCAGGACGTGCTCCCGCTCCTGCCGCAGCCGCAGGGTCTGGAATTCCCGGGGAGGGGCCCCCGGAGCCCCCGACGGCTCCGACGCCTCCGACGCCATCGAGCGACACAGGACCCGCAGCGCTGGGGGAACTGGGATGGACTGGGAGCCACTGGGACCCACTGGGGAGGGACTGGGAGGGACTGGGAGGGACTGGGACGAACTGGAGGGAACTGGGACCCACTGGGGAGGGAGTGGGAGGGACTGGACAGGGACTGGAATGGACTGGGACCCACTGGGATGGACTGGAAGCCACTGGGGAGGCACTGGGAGGGACTGGGAGGGACTGGGAGGGACTGGGACGAACTGGAGGGCACTGGGACCCACTGGAATAGGACTGTGAGGGACCAAGGAGGGACTGGAAAGGTCTGGGACCCACTGGGATAGGACTGGGAGCCACTGGGGAGGCACTGGGAGACACTGGGATGGACCGTGGGGGGAACTGGGGAGGGACTGGGGGTACTGGGACCTACTGGGACACACAAGGACAGACTGGGCAGGGACTGGGGGAGAACTGGGGGGGGCCCCGGGAGTTACTGGGGGGTCCCCAGGAGTTACTGGGAAGGCACTGGGAGTTACTGGGGGTCTCTGGGAAGGCACTGGGAGTTACTGGGGGTCACTGGGAGTTACTGGGAAGGCACTGGGAGTTACTGGGGGGTCACTGGGAGTTACTGGGGGTCACTGGGAAGGCACTGGGAGTTACTGGGGGTCACTGGGAGCCCCGGGGGGGGTTCAAGGTCACCCGATGGGGTCCCTTGTCCGGCCCGGGGGTGTTTTGGGGGGGTCCGGGGGAGGTCACGTGTCCCGGAGGGGTTGGTCACGTGTCCCCCCCGGGGGGGTCTCTCCCCCCCCCCAACTCACGTGCCCGGAGCAGCCGCGCGACCACCAGCGCCATCGGCCCCGCTCCGCCGCCAGGGGGCGCTGCCGGCTTCCGGCGCCCGCAGCCAATGGGAGCGCAGGAAGCACGGCCACGCCCCTCTCCGGGCGGAAGTGACGCGTTACCCACCCCCTTATGGGCGGAAGTGGCGCCGGGACCCCAAAAACCTCCCGAAACGTCCCCAAATCCCCCCAAATCCTCCCCCAACCTCTCCAAATCCTCCCCAGCCCCCCTAAAATGCTTCCAACCCCACCCAAAATGCTCCCCGAGTCCTCCCCCAAACCCCTCAAAACTCCCCCCAAACCCCCCCAAAACTCCCTCAGACTCCCCCAAAAATCTTCCCTACCCCCCTGAAGTCCTCCCCAAAACCCCCTAAACCCTCCAAAACCCCTTCCCAAACCCCCTAAACCCCTTCTTAAACACCCTAAACCCCCCTGCCCCCCAAAAATCTCTGTGTGTGTTTTCCAAACAGGTTTATTTTTTTGGGGGGGGGGGGGGTCACAGAGGGACCCCGTCGGGCCCCGACTCTTCTCCTTAAAAATTGAGGGAGGGGAGGGACACACAGCCGGGAGTCGGGGTCGAGGAGGGGGCAGGGCTGCCCCTCGGCTCTAAAAAAGGGGGTGGGGGGGTCGGGGGTCCCGTTACGAGGCGTGCTGCGCCGTGGAGAAGCAGAGCTTGAGCGTGTAGGGGTACGGCCCGTCTGGGGGGGACACACACACAGGGGAGGGGTCAGGGGGGCCTCGGGGACCCCCCGGGCCCCCCCCAAACACCCCCTGAGCGGCACTTACTGGGGTTCTTCATCTGGAAGTGGTTGAGGAAGCCGAGGGTCTCCAGCGCGTCGCTCTTGGAGTCCCACTCGAGCAGCCCCGAGGAGCTGCGCTCGCCTGGGGGGCACACGGGGGGGACACCCCGCTCAGACGGGACCCCCGGGGGCAGGGGAGACCCACCCATGGGGACGGGAGAGCCCACGGGGAAGGGGAGACCCCCCAAGGAAGGGGAGACCCCACAAGAAAGGGGAGATCCCCCCACGGGGAGGGGAGAGCCCACGGGGAAGGGGAAAGCCCATGGGAAAGGGGAGACCCCATGGGAAAGGGGAGATCCCCCAAGGAAGGGGAGAGCCCACAGGGAAGGGGAGACCCCACAGGAAAGGGGAGACCCCAGGGGAAAGGGAAGACCCCACAGGAAAGTGGAGACCCCCCCAAGGAAGGGGAGACCCCACAGGAAAGGGGAGACCCCAGGGGAAAGGGGAGACCCCACAGGAAAGGGAAGACCCCACAGGAAAGTGGAGACCCCCCCCAAGGAAGGGGAGACCCCCCAGAAAAGGGGAGAGCCCACGGGAAAGGGGGATTCCCCCAAGGAAGGGGAGACCCCTCAGGAAAGGGGGATTCCCCCAAAAAAACTTACTCTTGCCTGAGAAGACCTTGACCGAGGAGGGACGTTTGACCCCCAACTCATCACAGATCTGGGGGGGCAAAAAGGGAGTCAGGGGGACTGGGGGGGAAGAAAGGAGGAGGAGGAGGAGGAGAACAGAAGGAGCAAAGGAAGAGAAGAAAAACGGATGGAGAAGAAAGGAAACAAAGAGGAAGAGGAAGAGGAGGAAGAGAAGGAGGAAAAGAGGAAGGAGCAGAAGGACGACATGGAGGAGGAAATGAGAAAGGAATGGAAGGGGAAGGAGAAGAGACAGACAAAGACAAGGATGAGGAGAAGGAAGAGGAGGAGAAGAAAATGAAAAAGAGAAGAACGAGAACAGGAAAAGAAAAAGAGAGACAGGCAAAGAGAAAGAGAAAAAGAAGGAAGAGGAGGAGCAAGAGAAGGCAAAAAAGAGAAGGAAGAAAAGTAAAAAAAAGAAGAAAACCAGAGACAGGCAAAGAGGAGAAAGGATAAAGAGAAGGGGAGGAGGAGGAGAAAAAGGAGCTGAAAAAGAGAAGGGAGAGGAGGTGAAAGAAGCCCCGAGATGGGGGCAGAGGAGGAAGAGGAGGGTGAAGAGGAGGGTGAAGAGGAGGGTGAAGAGGAGGGTGAAGAGGAGGGTGAAGAGGACGGTGAAGAGGAGGGTGAAGAGGAGGGTGAAGAGGAGGGTGAAGAGGAGGGTGAAGAAGGGGGTGAAGAGGAGGGTGAAGAAGGGGGTGAAGAGGAGGGTGAAGAGGAGGCCGAGGCCAGGTCCCACCTCATAGAAGTTCTCCTCGGTGACGTCGAGGGGCGCGTTGAAGAAGTGCAGCACGTTGGACGGGTGCTGGATGCGGTTCTTGGCCGCCTGCTCGGGCGTGGAGAAGCGGTTGTTCCGCGAGCCGCTGAAGTCCTTGTAGCTGCACGAGCCGTCCTCCAGCCCGTAGGACTGCCCCGGCATGATGGCGTGCTGCTTCGACACGCTGCGGGGGCAACGGGGGCGGGGGAGCCCCCAGAAACGGGGAAACCATCAGAAAAAAAACCAACGAAATCGTGGGAGCCCCTCAAGGGTCACCCCGACACACCCTCCGGCCCCTAAAATGGCTCCGGGATGAGGCCGGGGCGCTTCAACACGGGGGGGGAAAGGGGGGAAATGGCGGGAAAGGTGAGGGGAAAAGGGTGGGAAATGTGAGGGGAAAAGGGTGGGAAATGTGAGGGGAAAAGAGTGGGAAACGTGAGGGAGAAATGTGAGGGAAAGGTGAGGGGAAAAGAGTGGGAAACATGAGGGGAAAAGGGTGGGAAATGTGAGGGGGAAAGGGTGGGAAACGTGAGGGGAAAAGGGTGGGAAATGTGAGGGGGAAAATGG